CCAAAATTTCAGTCTTCTAGCTCCTCAAGTTCCCGAGTTAGCGACTTACCCGAAAAAAAAATTTGACGGGCGTGCACATAGGTACCACGCTTTCCGCAAGGCTGGGTTTGAGCTCTTTAATACTCACTTGGACGGGAGACATCTCCTCTTCTAGCTTCCCAGATTCCCGAGTTAGCGACTTACCCGAAAAAAATTTTGGCGGCCTGTACGTGGGTACCACCTTTACCCGGGAGCTGGATTTGAGCTCATTAATAACTAATTGGACGGGGAACATTTTTTAAAATTTCAGCCTTCTCGCATTTCTGGTTCCCGAGTTAACAGCTTGCCCGTAAAAAACTTTGGCGAGCTCATACGTGGGTACCACGCGTGCAAGAGCGTCCATTTTGGGGATTGGGGCCCTTAAATGCATGTAGATTAAGTTTCCAAAATTTCAGCCCTGTAGCCTTTACAGGTCTTGAGATGAAAAATCAGTACAGACACACAGACAACCCCTCGTCAATATGCGTTTTCTGCATTGCATAGCTGCAAAAAATGCATAATAATAAGCCAGTGACAAATAAAAGCAGTTGCCGAATACATCAACTGCGAGTGCCTGAAATGAATTAGCAGCAAAATGAGGGATGAGAGAGAAATGAATGACAACAGCCGAACCCCACAATTTCCGAGAAAAAGAAAATTGCATAAGTGAAGTTCTGAACAGTGGACTCTAATAGCTGGAAAATGTCAGTTAATAACGAACAGTAAGGTAAAGGGTGCAAACGGTGATTTTGTTACCGAAATGAAAGCGATTAATATTTGTCGCCCCTTTCTTACGAATGACAGATTTGCAGCTGTATGGACATACGCAATTCTGCAGCTCCAAATGCAACAAGGCGGTAAAAGATTTGAAAGTTTCGGCTTCATCAAACGTAAAATGTAGGTAAGAAAAGGGCAATAAAACGAAATGTGAACAAAAAGAGAGAACTGAAGGTTACCTGTGTGAGATAGCATGCAATGACGGCAACATATGTCACTGCAGGATTTCCCATTAAGGCAGTCAGAAAAAGAGAATCAAGGGATGCAACAATTAAACTGGAATCGGTTGCTCGCACAGCACCCATCAGAGGCGCATGCATCGACACGCATACATCCAGCAAACGTAGCGCAGATAATGTGGCCATTTCGCGATCCACCGAACGAGGAGAGAAATCTTTCAGGCGCTCGGCCCCCTCACATAATACTGCTCCGAGCTACAAATAGCAAAGCGGATAATACATACAAATGAAAGACAACACCTCTCCTCCCGGTGACAACGATTAAAATTTCTAAAAAGTACAAAAATGCATCTTCACTCGACACTCGCTGAATACAGTGTCCACTGTTACCCTCATGCCCTTGTAAAATGTTAATGCTTGCGATGTCGTTTGGGGCACAGCTGTAACAAATTGATCCAGCTAGGTATCCGTAGAACAGTCAACAGCGCACAGTCCTTATAAAACACTCAATTTATTTTTGAATACCAAAAATACCACAAATGTCGGATTAAACGTACAAAGACCCTGTTGTTAGTGACACTACTGATACTCCCTCACATTCCCGACGTAGCCATGCCAGGCCCTTCGATCCCGATTTCATACTTCTGTTACACCCCGTTC